TCACACCTATGTTCTCGGTGGTGTGCTCACACCCACTAGGCTATGGTTTGTGTCTGTGTTGTGTGTGGTGGTCACACTCTGCAGGCAGTGGTTGCATTGATGTGTGGTGTGCTCACACCGACCAGGTGGTGGTCAGCCCTGACTCCCTCCTTAGCGCCATCCTGGCCCACACTGGCATCAGTTGTCAGGTGGGTTTCCCAGGAGTCAGAAGGGGGCCTGTTTCTCGGGTGTCCTCCTGGGTGCTGTCCTGGGGAGTGGAGGGTGGATGCAGGCCCAGTGTGGGCAGGAGCTGAGCTGCAATGCTGTCTTGGCAGAGGTCCCCCATAGCCCTTCAGACTCGCCAAGAGGGGTGAGGAGGCGGGCCTTCATAGTCATCGCTCAGTCATTGGTGTGGCTGCTGCTGAGAGGAGGTGTGGCCTGTGCACTGGATGGCCACAGGGATGACCGGTCCTCCCAGCAGCTCTTGCTGGGAGGAGTTTGGCGGCGCCTCTTGGTGCCTGCAGTGTTGGGACCTGACACTCAATTTGACTCCTCCCAGCTTCCCCGGATGCCAGAGGCCACCTGCGTCTGGGACCAGTGCACTGACACTTTCTGACTGTCATATCCTATTTGTAAACTTAGGTACAGCAGGTTTGAAGAGGGTGTGCTGTTAGTACTGGGATGTGGGTCAGTTACCCAGGTCTTTGCCATCCAATTCTGGAGCTACAGCCCAGGCTGCTGTTAAATTTAAGCTCGTGGAAGTTGAGTATGATTCAGAACTCCAGCCCTTGGCACACCAGCCCTGTCTGAAGGCTCAGTAACCATGGGAGGCCAGTGGTTCCTGTGATGGGCAGCACAGATACCCACCCATAAACACCTGCCTTTCTGGAATGCCTATGGACAGGTATCTCCTGTTACTTGTGTCGCTAGCAGGACACCCAGGCCTTAACCGGAGAATGCTCGTTGTGTCTGCTGTCCCGGTCCGTGTGTCAGAATCCCCACTCTCTGACAGACACAGGGTCAGAAATGTTCATGTCTGCTCTCTCAGTCCGTGTGTCAGAAACCCCAGCATCTCAGAGACATGGGGTCAGAAATGCTTGTGTCTGCTGCTTCAGTCCATGTGTCAGAAACCCCACTGACTAACAGACAAGGGTCAGAAATGCCCATGACTGCTATATCAGTCTGTGTGTCAGAAACCCCAGCATCTCAGAGACATGGGGTCAGAAATGCTTGTGTCTGCTGCTTCAGTCCATGTGTCAGAAACCCCACTGACTAACAGACAAGGGTCAGAAATGCCCATGACTGCTATATCAGTCTGTGTGTCAGAAACCCCAGCATCTGATAGACAAGGGTCAGAAATGCTGATGTCTGCTGTCCCGGTCTGTGTGTCAGCAACCCCAGAGTCTAGCAGACACGGACGGGGTCAGAAATGCAGGTGAGCTTCTGTTGTGACAGTGTGGGCTTCTTTTCCAAGGAGCGTCCGTGGCCGATTACCTGAGAAAGGAGCCTGTCGGTGACCAGGACACATTGCATGGTCTCCTAGATAAGAGAACGGTAGCCCTTGAAGTCGTGCCCATTGGTTATGTGCGGTTGTCTGCTTCTCAGGGGGACAGCCCAGCACCTGGGCCTTGGGTGGATCCTGTCTTTCGGGTCCCAGTTTCACGGGCAGCTCAGCTCACCGCAGGTGATGCTGTCAGAACCACCCTGCTGTTGGAGCTGGACGTGTCGGTAAGTGGCAGCCCTGTCCCTGGCTGAGGTAGACACGCCAGGCTGTGCAGATGGCCGGGACCCCCAGCCTGTTCTCTGTCCTGTGGGGTGACCGTGGGTGGCTCCAGGGTGCCATGTCCCTCCTGGAGCCTGGAATGAGGCATGGTATCAGAGCAGGCTTCCCACAGAAGCAGTGGCTGGAAGGTGGTAGCATCCGAGGGTGGCAGTGATGGAGCGGCACTGTGACCATGCGGTCAGTCACGCAGAGCTGTTCCTCAGGACAAGCTCTCTGACTCCTGTGAGGGTCTGGAAACAGCTTAGCCCCTTCACCAGGAAGATGATGACCGGGAAGATGGAGGTCTGTTGCCCTTCAGGGTTATGCCTTCCACCCACCCCTCGGGAATCCACTGAGCTTGGGTTAGGAAAGGGAGATGTGGCTCCCCTGCCTAGCCTTGCTCTTCAGAGGCATCTTCATGGGGTGAAGTGGCTTGCTGGGGGCCAGAGTGGCTTGCTGGGGGAAGGCCAGAGCCCGTCAGGGTAGGAGTGAGCTTCTTGCTGAGAATAGGAACCATCACAGGTGTCAAGATAGGATGGCTTAACTCACAGACTACTGAGCAGGCCAGAGTTTCTCTTCAGCATTTTAATCATCTGTGTGTCCCATCTTTATGCTGTGACAGCCTAACCATTTCTGGGGTTCGGATACTGTGCCCTGTTGTCATAAAGAGGCCGGGGCTGGCCAGCTGCTGAGTGCCCTCTGTTGCAGTGAGGAATGAGGGTCTGTGTTATGGTCACAGGTCCTGTCTGAGTTCCTGGTCTGTGTCTGTGACCAGGACCATCCCAGGTCCAGGAGCCAGTGGACATGCAGATAGACTTGACGGAAACAGGCCTGTCCGGGTCCCTGGTCTCGTTTAGAACCCCCTGGGGCCTGGAGTTGGTGGACACGTGGGTAGACTTGACGGAAACAGGTCCTGTCTGGGTCCCTGGTCTCGTCCAGAACTAGGTCCTAGGTCCACTGAGGACCTAGAAGCGGTGGACACAAATGGGTCCAGACCAGGTCCCTGGTCTGCATCTGTGACCAGAAGCCCCTGGGGCCTGGGGCCAGTGTGCACATGGGTAGACTTGACTGAAACAGCCTGGCTCCAGCCATATCTAGTTGCACCCAGCCAGGTTGTCTTGTTTTATGCCCATGAAGGAAAAATAGCAAACCTCCTCCTCCCTCCCTCCTCCTCCCCCAAGGAGGGAAATGGAAAAGTGGAGGAGGCCGCGGTCTGTGTGCCGGGTGGGCATGGTTGTGTAAGAGACGCTCAGGTGCACTGTGGCTCCTACCGTGTGGATGAGGGGTGGCTTTGACTCACTCTGCAGAGCCTCCCCTGTAGAAATAGAAGTCTCCCTCAGGAGAGTGAGTGGGGTTCATCTCTCAGTCGGGCTTAGCTTGTTTCTAGTTCACGTGTTAAGATGCTCACACCACAAAGTGTGCTGTTTCTTACCTCATGACTTAATCTCTTGGACCACCTTCTCTCATGTGGGTCCCCCTAGAAGACGGCCTTTTCCTATCAGCCTGGAGACGCCTTCCACGTGGTTTGTCCCAACAGCGCCACTGAGGTCCATGGCCTGCTGCAGAGGTTACAGCTGGCAGACAAGAGTGAGCAGCGGGTCCTCGTGCGGATTCGGGAGGACACGCAGAAGAAAGGTGCAGCCTTTGGGGTTGTCCTGGGGGCCTCGGGCTGGGGGCCACGCAGAAGTAGGTGCATCGGGGGGGGGTATCCTGGGGGCCTCGGGCTGGGGGAGATGCAGAAGAAGGTACAGCCCCGCAGCTGGTGTTTCGGGGACCCTTGGGCTGTGATGGGCCATGGTCAGAGCTGATGAGCAAGATGCCAGCCCCTCGTAAGCCATCAGATCCCTGCATGCGGTGCAGGCCAGCACGAAGGCACTTGCTAATGTTCCATGCCTTAACTTGTACACAAATCACCCTAAAGAAGGTGGGTTTTCTATTTACAGGACATTGTTGGATGTTAAAAAGTAATGTGACTCTGTGGTCTTTGGGAAGTAATAGACCAAGACTGTTTCATAAAAATCTTTTCCTATTACGTTAAGTTGTTGTAGCACTGTTTAATGTGTATTAGAGTTTTCCATAATTAGAAGTTTTTTTTTTCCTTTCAATATAAATATATAATATTTACACATTATTTGCCTTGATTCTTCAACTTCAGTTCTTAGTCCTCAGGTTCTCTTTAGGGTGCCTTACAGGGTCTGATGGGACTCGCCACCTTTCAGCATTTGTCCCTTCATTTTGTGTGGCATGCCTGGAATCAGTAGGCATGGCTACTCTAATAATGTAATGGAATCTGTCACTTGTCCTTCTGGGAGGTGGGTTTTCCTTCTGCGTTCATCTTGGGGAGGTCTTTGGCTGCGTGAACATTGCCACCTTCATACTGTGCTCTGCGGGTACAGTGACATGGAGTGTCTGAGTCCCTTGGGTTTTGAGGAGTGCAGCCTGTGTCATCCTCGTTGTCTTACACATGAACCTCTTTCCTGTCTTCCTGGAAGGAGCTGTGTTGCCTCAGCATGTACCCGAGAGCTGCTCCCTCCAGTCCCTCTTCACCTGGTGCCTAGAAATACGGGCCATCCCTAAAAAGGTATCTGTCCTCTTCAGACGCTATTGGGAGGTGGGCCATGTTCTGTCTGGATTTCTTCAGTCGCTGCCTTGTGGACCTCGTAACATAGGTTTTTACAGCGTATTCTAAGTTAGTTCCCGGAGTGTGCAGTGTCATTTTAATTGTCAAAGACAAACATTTTTAGGCTGTGCTTCCATTAAAATGCTTGTTTTTACTGAAATGATCATTCTGGGAGTGGGGCTTTTCTGTCTCATGCTGACTTTAGACGAGAGCAGGAAATGGTGACTCGGGTAAACCCCAGGGTAAATGGTGACAAAGGTGACCCTCGAGGTATATGGGGATGAGGGTGACCCCAGGGTAGATGGTGAGAAAGGTGACTCCAGGGTGGATGGGGACGAGGGTGACCCCCGGGGTGGATGGGGAAGAGGGTGACCCCAGGGTGGATGGGGATGAGGATGACCCCAGGTGGCCTGTGTTAACTGTCTACACCACCAGTGCCATCAAGGAGCTTATAAGAGTGAGAAGGGTTGTGATTTGTTCTGTTGATATTTCAAAGGAGCCCTAGTGACATGGTGGTTAAGTATTGGACTGCTAACCAAAAGGTTGGTGATTCAAACCTACCAGCCACTC